TTAATACATCCGATAATGAATATCACTGTATAGATGAGAAATATTTTGATTATTGATAAATATCATAAACATATTATTATTACTGGTAATTTAAATATTATTGAAAACTTAGAGCTTTGGAATTCAATGATAACAGGCACAAAATTTAGACCTATTTACAATATAATTACGATATGATTAAAATACAATTAATTTACGATATGATTATAAGACAATTAATAAAATTCTAAAATACTTTCTTAATGATCTCAATAGTTTTTGTTTAAAAATGTCAAATAGATTCTCTTTACCTTTAGGTGTGTTAACAGATTGGAAATCGGTTATTTATTATTACTTTAAAAGCTTTTTTTTCAATAATAATGAAAATTTAGATAACAGTAACAATTCAACAAATTTTTCTAAAATTGTTCAATCAATTAAGCATCGACAAAAAAGTTTTGTATAGAACTACAGAAAAAAAATCATGGACAAAGCTAACAATAATTATGCAATCTTCTGTAAAAAATCTATGTTGAACTTTTAAATAAAGAGTTAAGAAAAATAGTAAAAATTTTAAGCTCAGTAATTTAAATAATAATATTAGAATTAAAAAAATTTTAGCTTTATATTGAAGGTTAAAAATTAAAACTAGCAATATAGTTTCCTTACTTAATTATCAGTTCTAAATTTCATAAAATTCCTATAAAATTTAGAACAATCACATCTGGGTCTAATACTTTCCTAATTACACCTAGCACCAATTTCTCTTATTATTTAAATAAAATTATTAACAATATTATTAAAGAAGGTTTTTCTTGAATTATCTCTAATAATCAACCAATTTTAAAATTTATTAAACACAATAAAATTAATTCAATTGCAACTTTTGATGTCCAGGATCTTTGGCATTCCCCTTTCTAAACTAAAAGATGTCCTTTTGAATTATTTCTATGTTTTTAAAAATTTCCTTAATTGGGATTTTGATATTGGGAAATTCTAATAAATTTTTGTCATTTTTAAAAATTATCTTCACTATGTAAAAAATATTTTTATCCAAATTGATGGAGTAAAACAAGGATCTTAGCTAACTTATTTTTGCTCTATTATGAATAAAATTATACTCTTAATATTAAACTTGTTGATGACTTAATTATCTTTAATTTTCAAGATTATACTATTTTATAAATAATATTTACCTCTAGGAATTAGTCTTGCTTCGTAATCATGATGATTATAATAATTTTAGTTTTTTGGATTTCAGTATTATAAAAGAAGAAGATATCTGCTTTATTGATTTATACGATAAAAGAAATTTTTTTAATATAAATAAACTAATTACTTGGAATTCTAATGGTTCTAAAAACATCTATTCAAATACCATTGATAATCAAACGAATAGAATTAAAAGAATATGTAGTAATTTTTATTTATCACAAAAACAAATAGAAAAACTCTTTCAAAATTTGATCAAAAAAGCAATGGATACCCAACTAAAGTAATTAAATTCTATATAAAATCATTGGGTTAATTATATGTTATAATAAATAAATTTACTAGAAACTTCTTTGTTAATTTACATATTTCTTCCATGTGCAAATCCATTTCAGGCAATCTCACTCACTCACTCTCTCTCACTCACTCTCTCTCAAATAAATGTTAATTTTCTAAAATCATTAAAATTGTTTTATTAAATATCAACATTTTATGAATTATAAACTTCTTTAAATTATCCAGTATAATATGTGCTTATCAATTTTCAGGCCTATCCTTGGTAATAAGTAAATCAAAAGCGCTTCGGTACTGCAGTAAGAACACTATAAAATGAAATCACTGTATTTACGCTTTTACCTCAATTTGCACTTCCGTTTTCAGATTTTGTAATTTGGCAATCTTTTTACGAAAATATTTTAAATCATTCTTGAAAATATTCCCTTACTTGTAAGTTCATTTGAATTCGCTACTCGCTTTATAGATTTCCTTTTGTGCTGTCTTTTCTTTACATTTCATTTTCCGTTTTTTACTTGAAATTTTTACTTAATGTGTTTTATTTTGTTTCAAAAAAAACTTTTTTTGGTGCTCCTCACACTATTGTATTGATATATTTTGCTTTGGCTATATTGATACAATATTGGAAAGCACTCCTTTCTGCGAATATAATCGTGTGAGCTGATAAAGAGTTTGTTTTTTCCAGGATTTTTAATAATAAAAATTTTTAATTTCATTTTATTTAAATAATTTTCTTCTTCTCTTTTCACCATTCTGTAATTTTTTCCATGTTTCTATTCATTCCATAATGTTTACTCTATATTTTGAACTTTTATATATTTATATATATTTGTGTGTATGCATGTAAAAAGAAATTTTAATAATTGAGGATATCTGTGGATTCTACACAGACCATCGGCCATTAAATATTATGATCTTTAAAGGTGTATATTTCCATTAAATAATTTCAACTTGATTTGAAATTGTGTTATCATATTTTTTAGGTTCAGTCAACTGTGTTAACTTCACAAAAGATGGCCAGTGCTGTTTAGACAACACTTTGCTACTTACAGATAAAGAAGGAGGATACTTGACATGCTAACAAAAGATTTGCTTTCTGGAAACTCTATAGTTGTCAAGTTACTTTTAAAAATACATTTTAATGATTTTAAAGTACTTTAAACAGCCAAACAATTATATATGCCATTATTTCTTTACATAGAATAAAATAGGGTGATTTGAAACTTTTAAGTTTAAAAGTTAAATTACTGATTACAAAATATAAAAAATTTATACTTTTATTAACTTTTTTTTCTGATTTTGTCAATTCTGTTGAGATCCATTGTTATAATATGGATTTAATCCACTTTTATTATTATTGTAGAATTTATTTTAATTTCAATAGTATGAACACTAAAATAATAAACATTTTAATGATTGTAAAGTACTTTAAGTATTCAAACAATTATATATGCCATTATTTCTTTACATAGAATAAAATAGGGTGATTTGAAACTTTTAAGTTTAAAAGTTAAATTACTGATTACAAAATTTAAAAAATGTATACTTTTGTAAACTTTTTTTTCTGATTTTGACAATTCTGTTGAAATCCATTGTTATAATTTGGATTTAATCCACTTTTATTATTATTGTACAATTTATTTTGATTTCAATAGCATGAACACTAAAATAATAATAACTCAACGTAAAGATTTAAATTCTTCAGGAAGAGAAGAATTTTCTTATAAGATATTCAAGAGAAAATGAAGATAAGATTAAATTTTGTTTGTGCTCAAAACTACAATTTCTATATTGATATAATTATTCATAATATACTTGTATTTCGTTGTATATTAATATTTATATATTAGCATATGTTTCTATATTAGTGTATACCTGTATTTTAATAACTATTTTGAATACATTATTAAAACTTGCACAGTAACTCTCATCATTAGTTTTTGAGAATTTTAAGCAGTTTTTGACAATTAAAATATGTTTATGATGCTTGACGTGTCGAAGACCAAACCCTCTCTAATTAAAAAATTAAATCTGTTTTTATCCGTCATTTTAAAATTTATTAACTTATAGTAAATAAAAGGAATGTATTTGTTATTTCGTTTTAATGCATCTAAAAGAGAAATGAAAACTATACTAGCAAAACAAATTAAATATGGGTGGAATATACGGCTTTTAAAATAGCTATTTTAAAAAATAAAAAAGGTGGTTACATTAATATAATTATACTATTCTTAAGCCTTAACTTGCATGACTTCTTGGTCAATTTACTGGCTTTAGCAGGAGTGTTTTTACCTTAACAAAAATGTGTTACTGAAGGGAAAATAACAATTATGGTAGCAGAATTTTTAGCATAAATACAAACAAGTAAATTTGCAGTAAAGAATCAGCAAGATTTTATATATTTTGTAGGCTGTATACATCCTCTAATCTTTTCTCTCTGTTTATTTATGAACTTAGCAAAAGTTTTCAATTAATCTGATTAATTGTCACCTTATATTTCTGTAAAAATAAAAAAACAGAAATAGATATAGTGTATTTTTTTTTTCTTTTCGGAACTAACTCTATAGTAAATCCCGTCCGTACATTAATTTTCAGCTTATATTTTTGTAAAAATTGAGACCCTTCCACATTTAAATTGATTTCTGACACAATAGCAAAACACTTGAGTGCACTAATTGTCAGCTTACATTTCTGTAAAAAGTTTTTAAAAAAAATCAATATCTTCTAATTATTGCTTTAAAAGACATCCTCTCAAAAGGGATAACTTGTTATAAACAAATGTCACTTAATGCGCTGTTATTCAAAGCTCTTCATTTTAAATACAAATTCACAATTAAAGTTTCAAACTCAACTTAAGCAAAGTTAAAATTATTTTATCCTAAATCCTTTTATTTAGCTGACTTGAGTTATAGTAACATTAATTGACAGTTACAACACATGAATAACATTATCTGTGCCTGATTGATTGAGAGCTAAAGTTTACTAAAAAGAAACTAAACTAATATTTACCTCATAGACTTAACGCAAAGTCATCAACAAAATTACTTCATCTAGTGGAATCTCAAAAAAGTATGATAACTATACTTGGCACTTCATTAAAAGATCTAAGCTAGCTGATAAATAATTTGTGCAACTTTGGCATAGTTGTGTCTCTTGGTTGGGAAGAGGATTAAATGTATAATCTATTAAAATTAAGCTATAATGCTGCCATTTCAACAATGAAACTCCTTCAACAGATAATGTTTAGGGTGACCCGGGGTAATTCACGATCACTCTGTTTCTGGGGTAAATAATGATCACCTAGTGTGGGCCTACTGTTGAGAT